TTCCCATCATTGTTTAACATTGTCCTCTATTATGCACACTTACTAGTCAACTGTTGATCCAGAGTCACCATTGAGTTCGCTCTGAATATAAGTGTGTATTAATGGAGGCCAACTGTCTACCCATGTGCATTTTCTCTTTTGGAAAAAACAAGTGGCTGCTTAACTGCAAAAATCAACTGTAGGGGAAGTTGATTTTTGTCCCTTGGATACCTTGTTTGCGACAAACCACTATTTTAAAGCCTTGTACGGTGAGAAATAAATTAGTCGGTATTAGCCGCAATGCTCATCAGAGGAAGGTGCGTGCGTGTGCGGGAATCGCCTGAATGACTGCATCTCTAAACTGGCATATTCCCTTTCCTGATCCTCGATTTCATTAATCTTATCAGACATATTTATTGCAAACTCGTGTATTTATTAGCGACTTGAATCAGATTGTTGGACATACTTTATGGGATTCACATAATCAATGTCTATTTAAAAGTTGGAATTGATCATGATGCCTTTTGTTATAATGTATCATAACCATATGGGGCAGTGCCATACCATGCATAATATTTCCTTGGTAACTAAAACGACATACTGATTGTGCTAATGACAATTTTATCCACTTCTCCTTAAAACCTGATCTGTGATTGCAGAAGCACCGAGTGCTGGCGTTGGAAGGATTGGTAACAGAAGTGGCCAACGATAATCCATTTTTTTCAATATAGCGGGGTAGGAGAGGGAGCAGACGTTAGAATGCATTGGTCTATACTCCTGGACGGTGAATGTATTGTAAGGTAACCTCAACGTCACCACTAGAACCCTCGTAGTGGGCCGCATCAAAGATGATCACCGTGGTGAACACAAATAGAGCCTCAGGACCTAGTGCGACTCGTCACAAATGGAAGTCATCGTCGCGACAGACGAAGGAAGTTGGAAGTGGGCCTTCGCTGAGGCACACCACATCATAACCTTCACGAAGGTGATGCCAACAGGCTGAATCAGGGTGGAAGAACTTCACCGACTTGAGGTACATCGCGTCGTCGCCTTAATGGAAAATTAACATACGATTAGCTTCTTTCCGAGCTTGTGGGTGGGTTTTAAGGCTTTTACCGTATTGCGATGGGAGCAACTCTAAGTAGCACATTAGTCGAGGATTCCCAAGCAGAGCATCTGGTTTTCCTCCACTCTAATATATAATCTTGCTGACACCTCAGTCGATAGACTGCCCAATTCTAACATCATTTCCTCCTTTTTTATTTACCAATTATGTGGCTGTCTGATAAGAAGATGGACCTTGTTGAGTAGATTCGCCTGCTTGATTAACTTCATTGAGCTAGTGCACAGTTTCCTCATGTAGTTTACGAAGTGGGTACAGCCAAAAATGCCCCACCTCATGTCAATTTTTCGAGTTGAAGTGCCCAGCACGGGCTTTTTGGGGATCAACATAACCGGGATTTTCGAATTTTCGATCAACACGTCAAATCGAGATTTCACCATTTCCGCCATTTGGTGCTTTGCAGCATAATGCGAAGCGTGGAGTCCTTTTAATGAGACGTTGTTGTGCACGTGTGTAGTTCTTGCATTCATCGACTACTGTAATGAATTCAACTATGGAACATAGTGCGTCCTCTGGACACCGGTTAGAATTTTAGAGGCTTCCGCCTGTTGTGAATGCGTCAGAAGAAAGTGCTGCATCTAACTCGGGTGCCTTGTTATCATTGTGTCCCATTCTACCTACTTTTATTTGTTTTTGAAGAAACTCCACCTGAGGGGATTAGGACCCCTCCACTGCCACCACCGTCGGCCTGGGTGCCGAATGCTTCCGCTGGCTTCGCAGCTGCGGCCTTAACTGATGAAGCAGCTTCCACCTCTACTGGAGACCTTGACCTTGACACAATGACGAGTGAGCGAATCCGATCTTTATTTGCATTGATATTTACTGCCTAAATTTGAAAGCTGTGGGTTGCAAAACCGAAATGATGTCAAGCTTGTATGCTGCTTCATGTAGCCTAAAATCGCCTTACGAGTATGCTTAATGCGGAGTGAGATGTTGAGGCCTTATGCAATGCAACCGCGCGGCTTTAAGTGTTGCCATTCAAACAGGACTGCCACGATAATTAGCGTGGTGATTAGAAAACCTACTTTCCAATCGTCGAGGCAACTTGTTTCAGTGTCGTCGAGAGGATAGATCACTGTCATTTCTTGCAGGTAGGATGAGTGAAAAGCCATCGCATATCGCGCGAGAGAGGAGCGGAGCGCAAACTTGTGATGCGTCAAGGGAGAGGGCTGTCATCCGCTGAAATACAGGCAGACCAGCTACCAATGCAGTGCATGTGGTTTGGTTACCAGCAACAGGTGGTGAAAGGAGGATTTAAGTTGAGATGCAAAGGAGTTCATCAACTCCCCTTAATACCGATAATGACGATAATGTTAGCACCAGTTGCAGCTTCCATTCCGTCAAATCCTGAGGCTGATGCTGTGATACACGCAGCCGCACTCAAAACATTGGCGTCTGTAATTGCAATTTACTTATTGCTTCGCATCCACTGTTGTGAAAGTGCGTAATAATGAAGACAGCACAAGTGTGACGAGGACCCACTGTCACCCTGGTGCCTTGTAATTACGTGACTTCCAATTTATTGTCTACTTACCCGATTAATTTTTGCAAATGTATAAAAAATCAGCAAACGGATGAATGTCTACTGCCCTTACTATAAATGAACAGCGTCTCTAGCTGTGTGTGAGGTATATTGAGAACTGCCAAAACGTCTATGCCTTAGAGGGAAACAAAAGTTGCACCTTTCAGTAGCCCCAAATATGACCTAAATAGACCTTCTACGTGTTTGCTAATCTCCAGTCCACAATAAGCGGGAAGTGAAAAGAAGACAGGGTCACCGAAAAGACCCGCATCGTTGATGCTTTCAAAGGGTGGTCTGTGGTTGATTATAGTACCCAGATCTCGTCTACTTACCCTTACCTGACTTAAAATGACTGGACTTGTTAATCGTCAAGTGGTTTGGTCCTAAATGTGCCCACTGAAATCCGGTTTTGGCATACCCACTTAACGTAAAAGAATAAAATACATGTAGACGCTGCTGGGACTCCTGTCTCCTGACTGTCCATTAGTCGAATCCCAATCCGCCTCAGCCCAAAAATTGCTGTCAAATTCGCCTAACAAGGTGCGGTTTAAGGTGCGCAAGATTGACTTTCAGATGTGTTTGCCTCTCACCTATCACCGCACTTACTTTGCTGCCAACAAAGTCGTGTCCTCTACTTGTTCCTCACTCAACATCTAGCATGCTAGCCCTCTAGGAGCGTGCTCATCGAGAGGTCATTTAAGTAGTTGTCAAAAATAGGTTGGAATTTATAAACATATGGCTGCCTCCAGTTCGGATGGCTTTGACATATGTACAGAAGAAGCACTGCTGTTTCCATTATGCGAGTTATTACATATAAATAGCAGACTACGACACCAGATTGCAAGCTTTCGTATTCATACCACTGAATTTTGATGTCTACCTAGATGTACTTCCACGATGGAAGAATTCTACAACTGCAGCGAACTGAGCGGCCGATTTAAGGGCTTTAACATAGTGAATTCATTCTTAGGTGAACTCTCCTGCAATCACCCCCTATAAGAGCCTTTTTCTAGCAAGATACATAAAAAGCATAACTGACCACTGAGATACCACTGCTGGGACTCCTGTCTCGGGACTGTCCACCAGTCATATCCCAATCCTCCTCAGCCCAAAATGTTGTGTCAAATTCGCCCAGCGCAAGATCGACTGTTGGATGTGCTTGCCTCTCATCTATCTACGCACTTACTTTGCTGCCAACAAAGTCGTGTCCTGTACTTCTTCCTCACTCTAAATCTGATATGCTAGCCCTCGAGGAGCGTGCTCATCACAAGGTCCTAGAGGCTTGATATTCAAATCACTTTAATTGATGAGTGTTGTCTCAAGTCACTTTGAGCGTGAAATGAATTCACGTTTCTTGCGGTATACGGGGTTTAAGGATTTAACTGAGGGTGCGTTGCCTCCACGTCATCCGTAGAGTCTCTTCTAGAATTCAGCCATCTGCTGTTGATAGTTTCCTCCGCTGATATAAGAATTTGATAATGCGCTAGGGTTATTGAATAATAGCTAATCTATGTGCAATACGCTTGCTCCTTCCACTTCTCGTTTTTTACTTCAAACAATGTGCTTCGCTGAATCGTTTTGGCTAATATGAAAGGGCAGAACAATATGGAAGGCGACTTCTACTTGACTCGTTGAAAATTGTAAAGTCGTGGCTGTGATTATGATCATGGATATGGGTGCGGCTACAGTTGCAACCAAACGTCGTAGCGGCACTTCAAAATCCTAGACAAGCCCAAGCCAGAGTTAAAATCAAAACCGAAAGTGGACCTTGTTGACTAAAGAATATGAGCGCCTCATTGTGTAGAATTAAACAAGTGGCAAATCAACGCATAATCCCATTTCAATGCCTGCATTATGCACTCCTGTGCCAAACATTTAGCCAAGATGGAAACGTACAAGAGCAAGCAAATTACGGTACCAGATCCTAACTAAATGAAATGTTGGGACAAATGACACGTCGACACTGTAGACCAAGCAACACGCGGCAACGGCAAAGAATTCAATCAAAATTGCACGAGACATGTTCGATACACAGCGACTTCTGGTCTTCATAGCATATCGGTTTATTGTCGTACATTCCTTTCCCCATTTTCCTCTTCTCCTCCCTTCTCATCCACTCCTTTTTTTTCTTGTTTAGCTAAACAATTACTGTTCTTCGCCTTGTTCGGAGAAATCGTGTCACCTGTACTCTTCTTTATAGTGAGGGGCAAGGAGCTACACAAACCCATGATTCGGAAAATTTGCCGAGAACTAACATTCGCCAATTTCGTGGCAATATTTAGGGGTTAGTCACCGATTTCTATTCCTCATGCATAACTCGATCAACTTTATGCCTCTTCGTAATGTATTCTACAAATTATGAATCGGCAGCAGACATACTGATCCAAAATTATCTGCCCAGTGATAAACTAAGATGGGCTGGGCTAGGCTTGGCTAGGCTAGACCAGACTCGGCTATTTGTTCTATTCCTTATGCTTTATAGCTGCAGTCATGCCCCAGCATTCATGTACCACCGCATATGCTACTCGAAATAGGCTGGAAAGACGCTGAGGTCAAATGAGGCCTTTCTCTTTTGTCTGCCATATATTAGGCTGTGATGTGTTCAGACCAGGGAAGGACGTGAAAACCTCCCGTCCTCCCTTTTGTACCCAAAATTCCAGTTCAGTATTAATTGTGTGAGTGTCCCTTCACCCAATGCATTGGGTCTCACGTTATGCGTCACCACACCTCACCCTGCCCCATTTCTCCATTTCACACAACACATTTTGATGGGCAGATGCAATCTTAAGCTCTCACCTTCCCTCGTTGCAATTAAGTGAAGTCAGAACTCTTTCCTGCTCTGCCCCGATACGTTATAAGCTTGCGATTCGTTTGACAGCCAAACTTCAACTTACTTTATTGCTTATATTCATCCTTTGTCCTTTTAGAGAGTCTGCTTACCCAGTTTATCACGGAAGCTGATAAGTATGCGCAATTCCACGCTAGTTGTCATTTGTGTGGCCATGTGCACGTGTGTGTAACTGTAAGATTGTCCATTGAAATCTGCCCCTCTATTTGCTTGCCTCATTGTCCATTGCCAGTCAGACTAAATGGCGCATCATGGAAACGGGTAAGAACGCTTCTTTACCTGTTAGTGGTTACATGTTAGTCAAAGTCCACTGCATTTTTATGCATATGCATTCATCTCTTGTCCCCCTCTCAAGCGCGGTAGGAACTCATTTATTAACTAAAGGGCCAGTGGTTTATCAGTTACTTAGGCCATCGGTTTTTGACTGAGTAATTAATTTTTTATCTTATCTTCTTCCTTGTCAAGACCTTATCTATGGCAAACTGCTCTCTAATCCATCCCCTTTCCGTCCCGAGTGATATGGACGCTAAATGGGAGGAAGAAAAAGGAGCAAATGTGACAGAAACGAGTGATCATGCAATTGCAAAGAAGTATCCAGAAAAAATTGAGAATAAAGAAGGACGAAGGGATGATGAAGAGGGGCGAAAAGCGGTGGGAAAAGTAAAGACAAATCGTAGCCCGAGTCATTAGGATTCGAAGAAACCAGAACCACCATTGATATTAGACCAGTACCTCGCCAGTCAAACTCAATTAGAAAAGGAAAGCTATTTTTGCCATTCACGCATCCAAGAAGAGCGGCAGTGGTTTGACATCATAAGCAAGAATACATGTATAGTAAAATATCCCACATCTGTTGAATTGCCTTAACAAGCAAGTTTTGGAGACTATTTCCTACGTAGCACTATAGCAGCCCTAAATCTTGCCGAGGACAGTCGACAGTCCTTTCCTTACTAAGGGCAGACTTCAACAATATTTGCAATGCCCCATTTGAAGCTGCAGTTATATCTATGAGCAGTCTAGATGGCCTCTGCACTCGGCTTAAACATGTTACAGACAACAAGATGAGGGAATCTTTGGAACTGCTGGTTAAGTTAAAGAACATATTCTCATAGCAAGGCGTTAAGCTGGGCATAACATGCACCGTGAATTACGATAGATGCCATCGACACCTGACCGACCTAAAAGCCACCCAGATGAATGCCACCTCTTCTGCTCGAAGTGAACCGACATGTTAAAGAAATGATCAGAGTAGAGGTTATACCTTCCTCGAAGTCGCTGTGAGTAAAACCAAATGGTGTGATAAAGAAGGACGGAAGTCCTTAGTTGTGCATTGACTACGGAATGCCGATTGCAGTACCAAAGTGAGGTGCCTTCCCACTTCGCCACGTATACGATTTGCTAAACTCTCGAGGTGGGTCAAATTGTTTCTCCATGTTACACTTGGAATTAGGATGCTGGCAATTTGAAGTGGCAAAAATGGGCAGTGTGAGGACAGATGTGGTATTGGTAAACGGGTTTACTGAATTTCATTCAATGCTCTTTGAGCTCTGTAATGCAGCGTCCACTTTTCAACGCTTTACATGAACCGCACAAATTGGATTATTTCCAAAATGTTACACAATACAGCAGGATATGATTCGTGACTTCGGTAAAAAATGTTGGTGGATACAATGTTAATCTTGAATTTGTGGTGAATCGGATATGAGGCACAAATTTGGTTCGAAATTCATAAAAATATTCCGAAATCTACATCTGTAGGCCATTTTTCGTGATATACTTTCTCATCGGATGGAATGACAGTTTCTGAAGGCTGCACGAAGCAAAAGAGGATCTGGTCAACACCAGCTAATTGGAGAGAACTCTGTCGTTTTCTAAGTTTGGCAAGTTCTACTGGCATCTGCTTAAAGTTTTGCCAAAATCACAAGCCTTCTGCATACACTGATGGTAAAGCAGGCAAGGAAGAATTCTGGTTGTAAGAAAGAGCATGATAATACTTTTTTAGCTTTACCAAATTTCGAAAAGTGCTCTATCATTTGCGTCGGTGCAGCCTTGAGCGGTGGATGAAGATGGCAGAAAATACATGGCCTCTACTCAAGTTTCAAAATTAGCAGACCAATGCTGTACAAATGTGGGACCTAATTCGGATTATTCAGCATTATTAAAATATTTAAACATTCCAGACATTGACTTATAATGAGGGAGTTCATAGTGAGAGCAGGTATTCATCAGTCGCTGACCCGACTGAAAAAAATGGAGGAGATGTACCATTTGGTGGCACAATAGTACAAGGAGCTGCAACAGCATAATGATTTCCAACACAATACAGTACAAAAAGAGAAACTGGCGTAACAAAGCAGACATCCTCTTCAGCAGATCAGAACTGGCAAAACGAGACAGCGTCGACGTCATTACTTTATTCTTCGGTGCGACCAATAAACATTACCGGAGAAATTCGCAGAGTATTATACTGATACGTTCCTCATGTACGAGGACTTCCCACTATCCCCTTACAAACCCTTGTCGTAAGGGATGAACCTGTATGGCATGGCAACCAGGTGAATATGGCAGAAATGGTCGAAACTGTTACTAGAGAATGTGATAGCATTGCCCCAAGGCAATACTGCAACGCCTAAGAGCCTAGTGATTCCAGGTTTATTAGTACAATCATGCTTCAAAAATTCGCACGAGTAATTAAACTATGATTGGGTGAAGAGAATGCTAAAAGTCCCTTGATAAGGTAATGGTGGCCAGCACACACCCCAGATGTACTTGAATTCTGCCAGACCAGCGTTACTTGCAGTAGCAGCTTCTAATAGCCGCATCTCACAGCGATTGCATCGCTCTACTTTGTGCCCGCAAGTTTCCCAGGCGTGAAGGTAGGCATTGATGTGGGCAAATATGGGTCCTCCACAGACCACCGAAACTGGGAACCTATGTGTTCTTGTTAGGATTGGTTACTTTGCAAAAGTGATCGCAGCAGAATTCATAAGGGAACAAAACCCTGTCTTATTTTCAGTCGCCTAATTTGTTAATATGGAATGCCTGTAACAGTGCACAGCGATAAAGGCGATAGTTTAGAGAGCTAAATCTTCACCAAACTATGCAGGGCCTACGGCATTTGCATAACACACATGGCATCTGCACATGTTCTGGGTAATGTACAGGTGGGAAGATCAAATCGCACTCTGTTTGGATTGCTGAAGGCTTTCAACGACCAAGTAAAACCACAAGACTAGCATTAACGTCTTGAAGGATGCTCATTTGCGAATAGAGCCAAAGTTTAGGCATCGGTGGGAGTTTCACTGTCCAAGGTACCCACAGGTGGTAAAATTGATGGCATCAGCCCGTATTTTCCTACTAAAAGCGAAAGTATCAACCTACAACGTACCAGAGTCCGTATTGCCAATGAAAGGCGAAATGCAACAAACTACCACATCGCACGAAGACACCTACGACTGTTATATTAGACAGTGGAGATACGACGACAGGCAGAGTTAGCCGAGTGTCAACCGAGAGAAAGAACTATTACTGATGTAGAGGCCTGTTCCGCCATTTGAAGTAAATCTCATATCCAATCATTGGTGGTGCAGAGGTGTGCTCTGGGTGATGAAAGCCATTTCACTTACAAACTACCTTGTCTGCAATTCACAACTCCGCACTCAACCACTCAAGTTTCAACTCGACAGTATGTGTCCCCACAAATGTACGCTCTCCGGTGGGATACGAAAATGAAGTTTGCATACCAAGGAAGAAGAAAAACTATCCTGGATAGCAAATGAAGATGCTACCCATCGGAGGAGCACTGGAAACCGTTTTTAAAAGAAGAGGAATCGGTGTAATTCATGTTTGCTAAAATGCACCGATTAGGCTAGGAGTGGACAATGTATACGAACTTCGTGACAAGGCTGGAACAAATGAGAGGAAATGAAGTAGATTAGCAGAGAACTAGAGATATGAAGGGATTAGGAGCTAGAGAACTGGGCATTTGGAGGGGCAAATATGTAAAGAACTTGAGTTTTCGTAATTTGGAAGGGTAGAGAACAGGTTGATGTATGGAAAAGTATGTTGAGAGCTAGCCAACTGGACAAGTATAAATCAAGAGAGCTAAATTGGCAGACAAATGGCTGCTTCGATAAGGAGGTAGGTAGTAATTAACAGATTTGGGGAACTAAATATCTCACATTATCTCTCCAGAGGTTTATTTTACGCCTCCGTAAAGCAGTCTTCCTCTCTTGCGTTTGGCGTCCGCTATTGTGAAGTAAGCGTGGCACCTAACCTCGGTTCAGTTTGGACGGGCATTGAATGAACAGGTGATATTTTACTGTTATAAACTTTATTTATTTTTCTAAATAGGAAAATTAATTGCAGCCAAAAAATTACTTTAATTAAAATTATTTTACTGTCAATCCTCGTTATCTCCATTCTGTCATTTACAACTTCTCTCAAAGCCGTGAATCCTAAGGTATACAAGTCTAGTTCATATGCAGTGGACAGACGTATACTACTGATGTGGTAATTACCTTCGCCTGCACAGGTTTTGTGATTACGAAAATGTCCTCTTGGGTAGCCTCACGCACCCACCCACACACAGGAGACGTGGGCATTCACGCTACCCGCATTACTGTGCAAGCATTGGGAAGGAAGTAAATAATGCTGCAGTTTTCAATTCCTTTATTTATCAGACACTTAACATCTGTGGAATTATGCAAATCTGGAGAGCGTCCAGAACTTTAACTTTAGCTGCATTATATGCTTGCGAATCAACAAAACACCAAAGCAAAAATGCCTGCTTCAGCACACGAAATGAATTTGCTGCTTCTGTGCAAAAAATCACCACAATGTCGCATATACATTTCAGGAAAAATGGAGTCAGTGGACAAATAGTGCAAGGCTGTGGGAAATGGAACAATTTATATGGCCATGGTAACACGTTCTGCATATCTTGTCAGTTGCTCATATTGTAGCCGAAAGTATACACTGTTTACATTTCTATACAGTCTAATCGACAGCAAACAGTTTATTTGGATGAGGAGATTTATTTTGCCAGAACATTGTATTAGAGGCAAGATGTAGCAGCGCCTTCAATGATGCTGCTATTTCTAGATTTGCCAAGCTCAAAGATAATATTGCCGCAAGAGTATCAGTGGTTTCGTGACTTGCTTTCTGTGTAGAATATTGCAGCGTACGAGGCCGTATTTGGACCAGCTCAACGAAGGAGAGTTTCGGTAGTCTCATTAGGGGGCGTTGAATGGTGATCCCCTACCGCTTGAATGGGACTTCGGTTGCACGTTTCCTCAGAATTCATATTATGGGGCATCGGGGGTTTTCAATGTCGAATTCTTTTGGAGTCCACTTAACTTTGGCTGGTTAAGGTCATTTTTATGGAATACAAGCTTGCACCACTTCACTTACAATTAACTCCTACATTCAGCGATATGCTCATGGCGAACGATGAAAAGTTTAATTTTGGTATTTTTGAAGTAGAAAAGCTTAATGTGCAATACTTTGGCCTGGGTTTCCTGCGGAAGTCCAAGAACCAGTGAAATACTGCATTACCGCACCATCTCACCACAGCAGGCTGCACTGATGCAGTGACTGGATGCTTTTGCTTTTTGTTAGGATCTACCACATGGCCTCTAAAGCACCATATTTCCAAAGCCAGGTAGATAGTTAGGCCGAAAAATGCTTACCTTCCAGTTGCCTTTATACATATCTAGCAGAAAACTAAGTATGAGCTTGGGGGGTTATGAGTGCGTCAACGTGGGTTTCAATTATTCACGAGACAAGTAAAATAATGACGATAGGAATGGCTTTGAGGATGTCTTGAAGCCATGTTGAACATCCATCGCGATAGGCACGTTGAATTGGGGGAACTCCTCCAGGGATTAGGAAATTTCGGGTTTGTTGTCCTTCCCTCCTTACCTGCAAAATGGCGAGTATAGTGCAAGGAGAGTGAAAGCACTTGTGGTATTAATGTTTTTTGGAAATAATGCGACGGGCTAAGTGCATTCATCTCTTCTTAGCAGAAGAAGGAAATTTATGTTCAATAGGAGCGGATGTGATTTTAAGAACTCGGGCCAGCACGATCAGCTGCTGTTACGGATGAATACTTACTCTTTATCGAATGGGTTCCGTACGTCGCAATCTTTCAAGCAGTCAGTCATATCTTTCATTCACTTATTCCTTTTGGGCATTCATTTTTTTATTTACTTATCACGGTGTCCACCCGGTAAAGCTGCCGTGTGATTCGCGCCCGTGACCCCAAGCAGTGTGCAACCACAATTGGGTGGATATTTTCTCAGCTTTTAACAGCGCAACCTCAAGACATAATCTGCAAACTTTTTATCTAAACTTCATTGCTATCTGTTGCTGTTGACAAAATGCCATCTGTTAATGTAAAGTCTGTTACATTATTCTATTATGTTGCCTGCGGAAATTGAAGGAGAACGGCCTATTTGTACAAGTGAAAATGTGCTCCATACATTCCATCAGAGAGGTGGAGGTGAAAATTTTGTAACCACAATGGCTAAATGAATAAGTGGATGAAGAACAGACACTGGGCGTGAATAAGCGTCTAGGTTGAGTGCCTACTATGCATTACTTCCAGTTTTTTAGCCCACACGCTGTAGTGTGTTTGTGACCGCTGTTTATACTACTGCCGATGATGAATTTTGAGGGAAAATGACAATTATGCCCTAGAGCAGCAACATCAGAGGAGTAGGGAGGATGCACATTAAGCCGGAGGTGAAGACGTTTGTCAGTGATGACGCATCAAGGTACATCTTACCTACTCCTTTCCTCCAACAATTAGGCGCAATCTCTATTATTATACCGTCTACAAATAATTAAGCGGTCCATTTAGTTTAAGACAACAATTACTGTATATAACAGCTAAGGAGGCCCAGAGTCAGTACGTAGTGAGGACAGGTCATCGGAAGCAAAATGATTTATGCCATCGGTTCACTCACATTGACAGTGAGAAGACTGCTGAGTAAAAACACAGCTGTGTGGTGTGCCCTATACCTGTGTGGGCAAGTTTGACCTCGAAATGCAGTGCTACGAGAGAAGTGCTCGCACTCCCGAGGTATCGCCACGTAGGTACTCCAAATGATGTCGCGGAACGGACAATTCGTCCTATACAAAAGTATACCCGCCAATCAATTGTGACCACTAAATTAGGGTAATGAGGCAAGTAGTTTGCAACAATCGGTTGTGCCAAACATCCTGACTCAATCTAATCTCTTGCCTGCCATTTCAATGCGCTTGAGGCCTGTGTTGGGGCTGACGGCATGGTTGGTAGCAAGCGTGTATGGCACAAAGAAGAACAAGGAAAATATATTTGTGTTCTGTACCTACGTTAACACTTCGAGCTAGTCGTGCATGCAAAGTGGCTGCGGATGAGGCGGAATACATAGATGGATTATTCTTCCAAATCTGGCCTGCGTTTCTTACCATATAGTTGTATGCAGTCCCCATCATTCGCAACCGACTCAACTGCACACATTTCATCCCTGAGGCATCATTTTTAGTCATAGCGTTCTTGGCAGAAGCGGAACCTCATGGCGTTGCCCCTTGTCACTGAATGACCTACGTGGAAATAAACAAGAAGCGGCGTGGCATGGCTTTAGTGAAAATTGGCTAACTTAAAACACGTAGTCCAGTTGATGTGTACCTACACACATTTCGCCTCATGAGGGCTGTGTTGCGGTTAACTGTAAAGCTTCACATTAAAATGGCTCAGCTCATGGACCATTGCGGTTGATAGCTAAATCAACAGGAGTGGCACATTCCTTCTGTGGCATGCAATATATCATATGCATAATCGTATTACAGTTTTGCTGAACCATTGATAACTCTCACTTGCTCCAAGAACTAGTCATTCTTCATTAATAAGAGGTCAAATATCACTTTTGCTAATAGCATCATGGATATTAAGTAATCATACCTTTAAAGAAGCGTCAATGGATTTGTTGGTGTGTGGGCAGTACCCATCTAGTAAAATGGGAGGGTAAATGTTTAGTTGCGATCAAGGGATTCATCAGAGCCCTCATTTTTGGTACCTGTTCGTCTGAGCTTTCATGTTGCAAATCTTCTTGGTAAAATTTCGTCTTCACATTTTCTATTTCCTGTAAAATCTTGTTTTTATCTTTAGAAACAGCATCACAGACAAGAGGAATGAATTCTACACCATTTAATGAGTGCTCCAGAGTTCCTTTTTTCGCTATCTCACATCCCAGTCAATCAAGGGAGAATGGGCAGGTACAGAACATTTTATAGAGTTTTCGCAAATATAGCCACTAAAGTAGACTTTTTTACGGAATCCGTTCACGAGCATTTGAGGGCTGCTGATACACAAACAATTAATTAATAATGCCTAAACAAGGGCATTTTCTCTTGTGTGTCCCGATTCAAACCTCTCCCAACGGCGACAACTTACCTAAATGATGGTGATGAGATTCCACTCGAGAGTATTCACTCTGATTAGTTGAGGGCATCCGTGTCCAGCCCTACCTACCTATTTCACGGGATTGGGAATATTTCAGGACATCCAAGATTAGGATTATTCTCCTCCTCCGTCTTTACTAAATTTAACATTTTCTGCTCCTAATCCTCTCTTTTCCAGTATGCCTTAAGAAATGGCAGTTGCCTCTGTCTACGCAGTCAAACATTATACATTATTTGACCAGAAGTAAGAGCAGCAAATCCACTTTCTAATGGGGAAAGTATTTTCCTACGCTGTAAATTCACCTCTACTTGTAAAGTTCTGCAGTTAAACAATTGTGGAGCATGATCATAATGAAGGGCTAAGGTACGAGGTTGCTAAAAGTTCCAGACCCGTGGTTTGTGTTAGTATTAGTAACAAATCGACCTCGCTTTACGTCTTTTAGCTTTGTAGTTAAAGGTAGGAAATGTTTTTGACACGCTTGCAGCATGACACTTGAAAGAACTTTCAAAGAACAATCTTCTTAGGACAGATGACGAAATTTAAAATTTGGACAATCTTATCAACCTAGTAGGCCTGACTAATGGCTATTATTGTAAGTGTTCCCTAATGTTCTATTGTTATCCTCTTTTCGATTAACTTTTCCTTACAGAGTTCAGAATGCATGATGGTTAATTAGTGGAATGTAAATCAAGTTGTTCAGAGTTAGGGCAGTCAATCCATCTCCATGCAATCAACCGGCATTTACCAGTATTCTCGCACCAATTTCGAATATTACTTAATAAAAATTCAAGTTTTATCTATGGTACCCTAGAAAAGCAAAAATTGACTTATTTTTCATTACTCTATGGTTTTTCCATATCAAGTTTGACGATTTTGGTGGGCCATTTTGCCACCACTGCTAGATGGACTTGTAATAGATCGTGTTTTGTCATTACCATCGTAGTGACACAGCGACTGGCATTACTGGTTAGTCGACAAGATTTCATTGGTTTAAATAGGTGGGTAATGGACCCCAGTAAACCATGCATTCAGCATTGTAAATTTGTTTTTTTTTACACTAGATGCTTAAAGCGCGATCATAAATAGACCGCCCAAATTATCATGGACATTTTTCAAAGTTTCCTCCATCTTTTTTGTTTTAGTAACAGCTCATAATGAAGCATTACAAGCATAAGTTCCAGGACTGCCCCTGGAGGGCCGCCACAATGACTTTTAGCAATTGGTTACCATTGCAAACTAGTTTGAGGCATTTAATAATTTAGCCGAAACATAAGTGAATGTGGCACAAAACAGCGTAAAATTAGCTCCCATTGACATGTTTAAAAGTGAAAGCTCCTGACTGGAGAACTGTTACCTTTGCCAACTAAAATTTGGCTTGTTGAATTACACTTTCGCCTGTCATTACTTTATTAGTGGCGCTGATTCCTCAGAATACATTTAATGTTTGGTGAGAAAGTGAATTTCCAACGATGTAGTCCATCTAGACTCAGTTGAAACTGCGGATGATGAAGAATTTGCGTGGTTTAATAAAAGCAAGACCAACGTTAACTCGCTTCATCACTTTGCAACGACTAACGCCATGCTTTTGGCCCCTTTCACCATTTTTCATAACACCATTCCTCCATCTGCGTAGACTCTTAATTACTCTTATTATTTTTATCTACCAATTTGGCCAAAATGTTTTATTTTGTAAAGTTTGTAGCCATAAACTGCCTATTATCAAATGCAAGTAGAACATCAACCACAATTTTAACCTCATGTTGATGGATTCTCACCGAAAGGTGAATTTAAATCGAGCATTGTAAGGGAATATTTGTTCACATGAAATTTGCATAAATTTGAGTAGTTTTGTAGATTAACTTTACTTATCCTGTTGATGCAGTAAAGTGAATTGAAGAGGTGATGATTTCCGAATTCCTCAAGGCTGTAATCTTACTTTGTGGTCTGTTTCTAACAGTCGCTTTTATCAATTTCGTTTTAATTATTTCAATGGCTGCTGGGCTATTCCGTTACTTCATTTACTGATCTTATCCCTTTGCCCTTTTAGTGGATGATTTGTGCCAAATAAATGCATTTCTTCACTTCTTACTTTATTCCTTCTCAATAAAAGGAGAAAAACAGTACATTCTACGCGACAGATTATACAAGTCTAGCAAAATCACACCTTTTTTTGTAGAACATCAACGAACGAAAACTTAGATCATTTTACAAAGGCATATTTGTTTGCTCAGCAAACTGCGGCATAAAATGGCACCTCTTACCACTTGTCACTCAACAAACAACTCTGTGAATTAAACCGAGTAAGAGGCAAATTAGTGATCCTCGAACCTCTCTTCGAAGCAAAATGGTCGCACGACTTCTGCCACTATTTAGTATGGGTGGAAGTCGATTTTCCACCATGACATATCCAAAGCGTCACCGCATTTTGTTTTAAGCACTTCTATCTTGAAGTGGTCTAAAGTGTCAATAGAAACACCAAATTTCTTATCTATGCAGTGTTACCTATCTCGCGAAACACCCCTCTACGTAATTATCCTAAATAACTTCCTTTCTTGCGTAAATTAACTTCTTTGTCACTCCTTTTTCGCTTGCTCTAGACACGCGTGATGATCAGCACAATTCACCCTCCTTCAATCCATTTCGCATACAGGACGAAACCGCAACTCTAGTTGATTTGTCAAGGAAAAGAGGTGATTATGCGACCAAGTATCTCCTCGGTTGCGTAGAAATGTGATGAGTGGCACAGCTGGCTCGTGAATGTTTGCCTTACATCCCTAATTACATTGCGGTGGATGGAAGGAGTGTTTGAGGAAGGGTAGTGCTGGCATGATGCTGCAAATAAGTGAGGGCAATGTCATACGCTGCTTGGTTAAATGTCGCTTTTACTAAAGGACTACTGCTGTGTCTCGGCCTTTGTACCCTTGACGGGCGCGATGGCATCTGTGGCATGCCAGCGGCTCCACTCCCTTTTGTCTGCTCCTCATCTTCCTATTCTGCCCCTGTATAATGTCTTCTTCTGTCTGCAGGAAGTTACCAGGAAGCCTGTCCTTTCAACTCCTTCGTTTACTTGGTCCTCTTCAAATGTATTCAGCGTAGTAACTTACTGATCATTTTGTGAAACTGACTTGTATCTTTTAAGTAAATACTGACGATGTAGTCTCCCATAGAACGTAGAACGTATTACCAATTCTGGGTATACGCTACTTTCTCGCACAAGCAAGGCGCTGCACCCCTTTTTGACACTGATAAGTAACTAAATAAAACCCAAATGAAATTTATTGTTTGGCGGCTCATTTCTGCTCAAATCACCACCTGCATTGCCTCAATGCTCTAATTTACTCCAAATTTTGTCCGGACGATTCATTACATTTGCACTCAATCTACAGTTCTGTGAATTTCCTGAATACACACCAATCCTTGGAATATGTGCGTTAACAAATTATTTGTTTCGAATACATTCAGTTACCCTCCCTCAGCAATGCCCATCAGTACTCTACTGGTTCAACTTCTTATTTTGGTACGCACAGGGGCATTCGATACACTTCATAATCGTATTGAATTCAAGCTTGTAGCGTAGACCAAAGTAATTGCCTTTTCAGCACTGGATAGCATTCGTAGCATCAGTTTTACGTATACAACTCCATCCGCCTTGGTGTTGGGTAAACCATTTGCAACTGGATACTATGGATAATGAGCCAAGGATATTCAATGCATTGTCCATTCCACTCACCCTACTACCTCACCATTCCCAATCTGTGTGTGCAACTGGACGCCATAGTATTTACATGCAATTATTAATTCTCATTGCATTGACTCGAATATCAAATCATATGTTTAACTGTTTAATTTCTTTAGGCAGGTTGTTTTTCTTTTAGTATATTATTTGCTTTAGCACATTTTATCAACCTAGAAATGGAAGCATAAATATACACTTCGCTTTAAAACCATCGAAACTCGTTACAAAAGCTCAGGTAAACACAGGTTAGACTAATAATCATGGGCCCTATTTTAACACCAACGGATGCAATGGAAAGCGCCTCATGGTGGACGCAACCACACCCAAAATTACTGATCATATAGCACCCACAGTACTTCTCATACCGCAAGACTAAGCAGCCACAAGTTATGGTTGCCGGTGTGCAACGCGACGGAGGTTGCGATTTAGTACGTGAGTATTGTGTTGTGTGCCACTTCATGACCACCCGCCCATGTGTTGAGGAATATGTTGTACTACCTTAGTAGAGGAGAATGGATGCTGAATCAAAGCCAACTCCATCCACCAGAACAGACGGGTGAAGGCGAATTATTTGAAATGCAGTCACAAGTGAGCAAGACAAGATGCCGAAATAGAATTAGAATTGCTGAGTTAACGGGTTTGCCACATTAAGAAATGGAAGAATGAGTAGTTGAGTGTGCAGATGATTTTGCTACTTGGTGTATATCAGTGCCGTAACCTTCAACACTACTGCCGCTTTTCCGACGCAGCGATGCATGTGAGCCACACTACTCGCTGCAGCCATAAATTTGTTAGGTGAACACACCCACCACCATTACCTGACTGGTGGAATATCCTCTGCTTATGCCGGGTGAAAAATACCCATGCATTTTAAAATAGACTGTGAAAGAGTTGTCTAAAAATACTCTAGCATATTATGGAAATACAAACGTTGCTGCCTCCTTCCTCTCTTCTACACATCATCGAAATCTACACATTTTAGCTTGATGCATTGCTGAAAATGTGGAAATCATTTTTCTGGTATCAGTAAGTGCAATTTTAGTCGTCACTCCTTCCAAAATATGAAATGTTTGATGCCGTCTTTGATGGCAACTCATATTATGCTTGTATTCAGCAGGGTGGTCTGTTGTCACACAATGGATGCATTATTCTCTCCCACATGCTTACTTACTTCATCAGTCACCTATGCAAATTTGCAATTTTAATGTCTTCGTTTGACTCGGTATACATTCATTTATCGTGAAATGGAATCAAGTTTTAACATTGTGAAGAGAAATTACTGATTTCATTTTACTGCCTTGAGCAATTTCCAAGTATTTCGAACCCGATTCAATGCAATCGAGGAAGTGTGAACTAGGGAAGCAGCACTGCCAGGAAACTGTGACACATTTGTGGATCATCATGCAGTGCATTTCAATTTCTTACTTTTGTGTGGAATTGTAAAATGTACTTAGTCTACATTATTTTCATCAATGACGCATCAAAATAAAGAGCCACCACTATCAATTATATGTCAGTGTAGATACTGTGATAGTGTCCTCAGATTTTAAATGCAACCAATGCAAGTTGCGTGCTTCAGATGTTTGTCAATAAATATAGTAGGATTTAAGGTACTTGTGCCGCCAAGGTGTTTAATTTTGCACATTCCGGAGATTCCCTATCACCGTATTACACACGCTAACATGGTGTAATGCATTGGTCATTTAATTCTCGGTTTTGACAAAGTGACACCTTGTGTCTCCGCTATTGCATCGTCTCCGGGTGGGCTGTCCTTTAAGCCATGTCAGTTGCCCAAGCCGCACCGTACGTCAAATGTCTTTGTGTGTATACATATTCTGTACCTGTATTGTACCACCTTTTTTCTTCAGGGAAGTCTTGCAGCCCCACATTGGTGACAGCGGAAAGTAGACTCTACCTCAAAGGACATCAATCTCGATTCCTTCTTCTGGGTGCTAAACATCAGAGGGGTGGACGAAGTGTATATGCTACGTGTGAGAGAACTGATGATGACTCCAAATAGAAAAGCAGACTGCTCACAGCTAATGTAGATTCCATTGTGTCATACATTAAACGACACTCCACAACCGGCATTTGAAGCCGATCCAGCTAAGTAATTGAGTGTCATGAATGGAAACAGCTAGACTGTCAGGGAATAGTTGGTTTGTCTCGCATGTCATTACTTATCTGCAAACCTCATTTCTTTCTCCCCGTGCTATGCACAAACACACACATCTACCTCCACCTTTCTACCTCTCCCTCCAAATCCACTTCTTCTTATTTTACCACTCCTTTCAGCCAGCTCTCTAACTCTGCTTCACTGCCCGTGCACCACTTCTGTCCATCTGTTCGCCTTTCTACCTCTCTCCACCTATCTGTCCTTCCGCCTCAAAGTATTATTGTGACCACTCCCTCACACACACACAGTCACAGGCGCACCAACTTCAATTCAAGTCGTTTGTAATCAAATAGACTTTCTCATCAATAGACCTGAAATTCTAAACAAATAACATTCCACTTTATGGATCAAAAAATCACTAACACCGAAAAACACTAGACCAATAAGCCCATAATTTTTACAGCCGTCAGCATTTAATACATTAAAAATAAGCTTCACGTATACGCAATTGACGATGTTAGCACAAAAACCATAATAGGAAATTTAACATTAAAAACAAATCTGTCCCATTAAATTAAAACAAGTCAAATTCAGTCATTTTATTTATGGCATAATAATGCTTCTAGAAGTTTATACATATAGTGATTTGTACATCTAGCTGTAAGTAAAAAAGTGGGTCATTTAAATACTTTGCAATACAGCTGTTCATTGTCTGCAAATTGTTTGCTTTATATATTTGTATTAACCTCGAAATGGACGATTAAACATAGTTTGCTGTCTAAAAACATCAGAATTCGTTACTGAAGCTCAGGTGAATGCAGGTTAGGTTAACAGTCACAAGCCGTATATTAGTTTCACAAGTCAAAATCACCGCTTGCAAGCCCACACCGGATGCAATAGAGAGGATCCCGTGGTGGACGTAGCCACACTTGTAAGTACTGACCGTATAACACACAGGGTATGTCTCATACAGCAGGACTCAGCAGCCGCAAGTTGTGGCTGCCAGCATGCAACGCGAAGGAGGTTGCGATTCGGTGAGTACTATGCTGTGTATCATCCGGTCACCACGCACCGCTGTATGGGTGGGTGCCAAGCGGCAAGTGGTTAGTGTCAAGTAAAACCTTGAAGCGAAAGAGTAAAAGAAGAAGGTGATGATAACAAAGGGGTCAGGGGTAGTGTAGAGCCTGTCCAGAGTAGCCAGTGGCAGTTCGGAGAGTGGAGTATTTTGAGAAGGGCTCACTACATTAGGAATGGAGGAAAGAGTAGATGAGTGTGCAGATGATTTTGCTACTTGGTGTATATCGGTGCCGTAACCTTCAACACTACTGCCGCTTTTCCGACGCAGCGATGCATGCGAGCCACACTACTCGCTGCAGCCATAAATTTGTTAGGTGAGCACACCCATCACCGCCACCTCACAGGCGGAATATCCTCTGCTTATGACAGGTGATAAATATTCGTGTATTTTAAAACAGACTGTGAAAGAGTTGTCTTAAAATACTGTAACCATATCTTGGAAATTCAACTGTCGTTACCTCCTCCCTCCATCCTGCACATCATCCAAATCTACATATATTGCATTTTTGCAAATGTGAAAATCGTCCATTTAGAATCAGTAAATGCAATTTTAGTCGTCACTCCTTTCAAAATATGAAATGTTTGGTGTCATCGACGATGGCACTTCGTTGTTGAGTGAAGCGCAAGAGAACCGGATTGGCACAAATGCCAATGCACCTCATATTATGCTTGCTTTCAGCAGGGTAGTCTGTCGTCATACAATGGATGCATTATTTGCTCCCAAAGGCTAATTTACTGCATTAGTCACCTCCACCACATCCAGCGGCTTAGCTTTGTTCGTTTGACCCGATATAACTTCTTTTATCATGAAATGGCATGAAGTGTTAACACTATGAACAAAAAGTGATGATTTTATTTCACTGCCGAGAGCAATTTCCACCAATGCGTAACCCGAATCAATGCAATGGAGGGAGTGCGAATTGGGAAAGCAGCACTGTCAGGAACCTGCAACACACTTTCATGGTTTAATATGCAGTGCATATTAACTACTTATTTTTGTGATAAAATATAAGATATAAGCAGTATATTTTCCGCCATCGATGAATCATCAAAATGAAGTCCTAACACTCTTAATTGTCTGCAATTACGTAGAAACTGTGATGGTCTCCTTAGCATTTAAATCCTCCAATTCTATTGGCAACAAATACAGTAGGATTTGAGACACTTTTGCTGGAAAGCCATCTAATTTTTTTGACATTTTGATGATTTCGTACCTTAGCATCACATGCACTTACGTAGTGCAATCCGTTGGTTGTTTAACACTCCGTTCTGGGTAAAGGACACCTTCTCTCCCGGCCATTATGCCTTCAACCATGCCACGCGCCATGTTACTAGCCGAATGTTTTTATAGTATAAGTGATCTATGATTAAATTAAAATCATCTGCTGTGTGTGTGCATGAGTGTGCTTTTGTACACGGCAAATTGAGCGATATCAAGCTTAGGTTGAGGTTGAGGTGTACATGGTATACTTTGGCAAAATAAACACAGCTGGTTAACACATTACTTACCTTTGGCAAAAACAAAGTAAATGTTTGCTGCTACCTTCAACTATGCTAGTTTAATGCCTCTTCTGATCAAAACATACGGATTTCACCGAAATTTAATTAAGCATCATGCAGTTGACTAAACTCACCATGCGTTCAGTGGACATGCGATAAAATGAAAACTAAAGTTTCTCTCCTAAAAAAACTCACTATAAAACTAGCACCAAAACAATCATTTGTTTGCATAGCCTACAAATGCGTTTGACCTTGTCGCTTTCTTAAATTGCTTCGCGGTAATTCGACATTGTGGACTTGACAAGGCGTGCAATGACAAGGCGTGCAGACAGCTTGCGAAGGTTAAATGCTGTCGCATGCTAAATAAAACAAAAAGGAATCCAGACTTAATGTATTAAGGAAGGCTGTTAAAGTACAATTGATGGGTGGTTTAAGTAGGAATGAAACGAGGGCAACAGGAGCACATGAAAAAAGCAATTGGACTTCTAAAAGGTAGGAGTTATAAGATGATAAGAAGGGGAAAAGCGAATAGTAAGGTCTGGTTAGAGACAATGTTGGTGGTATTTGGAATGAAAGGAGGAGATGGTAAAATGGCTAGAATTAAAACCACTGCAAATATCATTACTTAAACGCGATCATCCCGTCTCACTCCACATCACGTCACGTTGCAACAAAACGCACTTTGCAACAAATAATTTACTAGCTTCGGCCTCTTTCTTCTAGCCAGGTCTATTCCGTTTCTCTCCCTGCCTCTGTAAAATAGACAGAGCCTCCTCCATCGAAACCATCGATGCCCCCTCCATCGGACAGTCGATGGAGAGGTCTGCTATTTACACCTGCTTTGTGATTGCATTCATAGTCGCATAATCGAATCCTCACCTGTCAACCACCAACAGCCACCTGCTATGTGACATATGCGTTTGCAGAATAAACAGCATGGTAACACGCGTATTGCTGCCAGAGGCACACTGCACTCACCTTCAGAACAATAGCCAGCCACGCAGACACGAGGGCGCGCAGAGAGTACCAATGCGATATAATGTGTGTGACATTAAATGAATTCATTGGACCGGCAGTTGGGACTGGGTTAGCTGACTGTTTGGGTATCAAGAATTCTAAATGCTGGACTATCAGACAAAATTTGTCTTGTCTCACATTTCTTTGGTCATCTGCGAAACTACTTGCTTCCTCCATGCTCTGCTGTGCCGTTCTGCACCATGTCCCACTACACTTCGTCATGTCACTTGCTAACACCCACACCTATCTTCGTCTTTATATCTGTCCCTCCAAATCCTCCTCCTCCTCCTCCTCCTCTTCTTCTTCTTCTTCTTCTTCTTCTTCCTCTTCTTCTTCTTTTTTTCTCTTCTTCTTCTTCTTCTTCTTCACCTTCTCCTCTCCTATGTCCTACTTTGCCCCTATTCCACACACACAAGCACTAGCATAAGTGTGCACACATTGCTTTAAACAATGTGGTATGCATTCGGCTGGACCTTTATTCAATTCATTTCCATTCAATTCACTCATTTTTGTAATCAAATGACGTTTTAATTTTCAGATCAAAAGGTCACTACCACCTCACCCTACGCCCTATAGTGGCCACTCCACCACACAAGAAGCACACTAATACGCACCCAGTTGGTAGATTTCATGTGCAACAGCGATGACCTATACCTCAAATCATTGAATAAATTTGAACGAAGAATTAATGGTCACTTAGCATTAAGTTCATCCGCAAGTGAAGTTGAGTGAAGTGAGTTGGCGAAATGGACATATGTGCTGCCTGTTTTGAACAGTCCAAATGTTATAACGGAAGTGAATATAATGCCGTGTGCACCTTATCCCAATGGGGCCTCAAAGATTTCGCAGAATACTGAAGGGTAACCATGAAGTGAGACATAACGTGGTGATATAACGTTTTATGTTTTGTGTGTGTGGAGATCTTGTTGATCTTGTGAGCTGTATTGTGGGTAAGAAATGACGTAGAGTTCTTGAGTGAGTGCCAAGTGACAAGTGGGTGGTTTATGCCAAATGGTGAAGAGGCACAATGAGAGAAGAGGGTAATGTTAGCAAAGGGGTCAATGGTAGTGACAAGATGGTTGAGTGTTGTGTGTGACAGGTGGGAGAGGAGCATTTGGAGAGGGGTTTACCACATTGAGAGATAGAAGAATGTGTGAGCGAGTGTGCAAATGGTTTTAGCCACTTGGTGTATATCTGTGCCCTGACCTTCAGTGCCACTGCCGTTATGCCGATTTCGCAATGCGTGTGAGCCATACTACTTATTACAGCCATAAAGAAGTTGGGCTGACGCAATCACTGGTGGAATATCCTCTGCTTTTGGCGGATAGCTAATGCCCACGCATTTTAAAACGAATTTTATTTTATTTTATTTTGCGTAGTGTGCATCTCTAAATAAGTAACGCATGTGTATATGACGTTGACAAGTGATCACCTCCCGAGAACGCAAAAAATGTTGATATTGAGAAAGCGAGTGTGCACAAGAAATGCGGGCAATCTATACAAATGAAGGCAAGTGCTTGGAATGTTGCAGTTGAGCAAAACAGCATTCCATTGCGAAGAGACACGCTTTTGGTAGAGACTGTGTGGTTTGTCATGGTTGTCATAGCTCGCAGCAGCTTCGTCATTGATGGGAGAAGGAGTGGACAAGAATGAGCAAAACAGTTGAGGTGACCGCTGCCACCGAAGTAGGTGGAAGCCGAGGTGGGCAATTGGTGATGATAATAATGTAGTGGTTGGCATTGTTTCTCCTCACGACGACGCAGACGCAGTGTTGGCGTGAAGAGGGAAGAGGAGAAGTGGAAGAGAGGGGTGGGGGATTCGTGTAGAGGTGGAAACACGATGGCAAGGTGGGGGATGTAGCTCAGTGGTAGAGCGCTCGCTTTGCATGCGAGAGGCTCCGGATTCGATCCCCGGCATCTCCAAGTCATGCGTTTGGTGCGCGGTCCTCAGCCGATCTCGGCTTCTCTCTCCCCACCCATGTTGCAGCACTCAATGCACATTGCAGGAGGCGAGACGAGGCGGCTTTTCACCCACCTCCACCGATGTTTTAACGTAACCTGCTCCACTCTCCACACACACGTCGTCACTAATCTGTGCATTTACCTGCTCGCGTTAACACTGTAGACGGACAATACACTCTACACTATCGTGCGCCCTTCTCCCACGGTGGTAAGACTTGTTTGCAGCTTACGGCGGTTGGATAAAGGCGGGTGAGTGGGTGGGTGGTTGAGTAGGCAGAGATGTAAGTGAGCAGATAGGTATTTGGGTGGGTGGGTGGATGGAAGGACAGAGAGAGTGGGTAAAGTGAGGATATTAGCGTGAGTGTTCTTGAAAGGGATACATCACGTCGGCTCGGTCTTCTTTACTTACATTGGCCACAAGAGTCTGCTCTACCAAACATTGCGTAAAATGTCAGTGACGTGAAATGGGAGTTGGTAGCCAGTCATTTATTGAGGTGGGGCGGGTGCCGAAGAGGTGACATCACCTGCCCTCGGAGAGAATCAAACTCTCGACCCCTGGTTTACAACACCATGGCTCCAACCCCTGAGCTACGAAGACACCCGCCGTCCTTCCACCTTCACAACTGGCCCTCTTGCCTCCCCTTCAACAGGCCACTCTACCACCCCACACTACCACCGTCCTCGTCTGCACTTTCTCTGGGTTGTGGTAATGCATTCCCCATTTCTCATTTCCCATAAACGTCGTTATTTCGTTTGATCTGGATATCTCTTAGATGATTTGAATGGTAAAGGCAACAGGCGATTCTCGCTTCGTCTTTGTTCCATGTCTATAGGGTGTAAGTAAACTTTGACTTCAATTATAATCACAAGTGTGTGTGTGTGTGTGTGGCAAAGTGGCCACAACGCTACTAGCCCAGACAGCCTGTCTGGACAACAGCTACAGACAAAAGATGCAAAAGATGCTGCTGCCGCCATGCAACGCGTTGGAAGTTGCGATTCAGTGTGTGAGTACCATATTGTGTGCCTCACATATTTCTCTGCACATCAAACGGCGGTCATGAGGTGAGACACAGTGTGGTGACTCAAGTGCAGAATTGCACCTCGATGGCGTGCCGCTAAGGCAGTCAGCGTCTTTGGATGTTTACCTGCTGTGTGAGACGTGCCTTGTGCCATACCATTGGCAAAGAGATGAGTAAATCAGAAAATAAGTAAAATAAGGTTTTGTGTGTGGCGATCTTGTTGATCTTGTGGGTGTTAGTGACATGGAGCTCTTGGGTGAGTGTCAGGCGGCAAGTGGTTGGTGTCAAGTTAAACGGTGAAGCGAAAGAGTAAAAGAAGTAGGTGATGATAACAAAGGGGTGAGTGGTGGTGTGGAGCTTGTCCGGAGTAGCGAGTGGCAGTTGGGAGAGAGGAGCATTTGGAGAAGGGCTTACCACATTGAGAAATGGGAGAATAAGTAGAAGAGTGTGCAGATGTTTCTGCTACTTGGTGTCTGTTAGTGCCGTGACCTTCAGCACTACTGCCGTTATTCCGATGCAGCGATGCATGTGAAACATACTACTTGTTGTAGTTATAAATCAGTTCTCTAACCACTGAGCTACAAAGGCACCCATTATTTGTTTACCTTCACAACTGGCCCTGTTGCTTCCCCTTCAACAGGTCACTCCACCACTTCACCCTATCACCGCCCGCGTCTGCACTTGCCTTGGTTTGCGGTAATGCACTCTCTACTTCTCATTTTCCATAAACATTGTTATTTCGTTTAATCTGGATATCTCTTAGATGATTTGAATACTCAAGGCAACAGGTGATTCTCGCTTCGTCTTTGTTCCATGTCTATAGGGTGTAAGTAACCTTTGACTTCAATTATAATCACAAGTGTCTGTGTGTGTGTGGAGCGGGTGGCACAGGTGACTCCTTGAATGTCTAGCTCCACGTATACAGGCCCACCTCCGACTGTCTTCATTTCTCTCCATCTCCAACTCTATCTCCCTCCACATCCACGTCTCTCCTACTCCCTTCTCCTTCTCTCGACCCCATGCACCTTCTTCTCTCCCTCTGCCACACACACGAATCTCGAATCTATGTGGTAGTTTGAGCTCTCCCCACTGCCACGGCATCATCTTCCTTGCAACAGTCTGACTGCTTCACTGTCTCGCTCTCTCTCTTTGGCTGACTGGCTGGTTCACTGACTAACTGACTGGTAGGCAGGGTGGAGGATAGAAATAAAGGTGAGGGGCGAGCGGTGGAGGCTTGCTGGGCCGTAACCCGGAGGACCGTGGATCGAAACCACCAAAAATTGAAGCCTTGAAATGCAGAGATCATCACAGTTTTTACACAATGGTAGATAAATTACATTGTTAGCACTTTATTTTGATGTGTCATTAATGACTATGTGTATTTTACATTTCCGTACAAGAGTAGTCAGTTAAATGCACTGCAAAATGATCCACGAAAGTGTGCCACAGGTGACCGACGGTACTCCTTCCCTCGTTCACACTTCCTTGATTGCATTGCATCGGGTTCAGCATTCTTCGACATTGCTCTCAACAGTGAAATAAAATCAGCAATTTTTGTTTATAATGTGAGAACGTGATGCTATTTCACGATAAATGAAGTCACACCGGTTCAAACGAACACATTAAAATCTCACAGTAACGTAGGTAACTAAAGAAGTAAAAAGAATTTGGGTGAGAACATTGCATCCATGGCGTGACAACAGACTCCACTGGGGAATGCAAATGTAAATGAGGTGCGATTGGGATTAGAGGTTCACCTCCCTCACCAAACTCCAATCGGCGTTGGCTTTTGTGCCAATCCGGTTCTCGTACGCTCCACTCAACAACAGCTGCCATCGTCGATGACACCAAACATTTCATATTTTGAAAGGAAAACTAAAATTGCATTTACTGGTTCCAGATAGACCATTTCCACATTTTAGCAATGCTTTATGCTAAAGTGTGTGGATTTTAGTGATATGCTAGAAAGAGAAGGAGGCAACAGCTTATGTCTTTCCAAAGCAAAGTAAGAATATTTCACTGTCTGTAATCATCGTTTAATTCACCGTTCTTTGCGAATAGCGTATACATGGGGATTGCATGTCTGTAGATGTGCAGCACTCAGAATAAGAAGGTCGACCACTTGTTTTGAAAGTCACCATTAGCAGAGGATATGTCACCTGTGAGGTGGTAGTAGTAGTGGGTTTGCTTACCTACCTGATTTATAACTACG